ATTGAACAGGACAGTAAAGTTATTAAGCCACTATGTTTTACGTATTTGAAATGCTTAATTGATACGAGCAATTTGGAAGCGATTGTAGGTGTCTGAAATTTATTCATAACATTTTGTAATGGCTGAGAGTGGACATGTTGAAGTTTCAGTCAAAAAATATATATTTCATTTTGCCCCTAAACTATTATGCGAAAATTAATTTGACATCTAGACTTCACATTATTTTAACTTGACCCCCAAACTTTTTTAAATTGGATAAATTTAAAATACACCCTTGAGGTTTAATTAAAAGATGAATCGCCCCCTATGGTTTTCAAAAATTACATTCCATCCCATGAGGTTTTTAATTTCATAACAAATCGCTCATTTTATTAATAAATTATCAAGTCAATTAACAATTTTTAATAATGTTATAAATATGTTTCAATTAATAATTTAGGTAATTTTATTATTATATGGGAGATCAATTATGAATTTTATTTTTTTAATTAATTCTGTTAAATAAAAAAATTCTAACAATGGAATATTTATAATTTTTCAAACCACAAAGAGCAATATATATTTTAAGCAAACCTCAGGAGTGTATTGTAATTTACCTTTTTAAATTTGATCAATTTACTCCCGCCGTCTGTTTTTGTCTACAATCAAACGAAACTTGCTAGCGTAACACCAAACTTCATTTGGAACTTTATTTTATCCCCCAAACTATACTTTAAAAATCAATTAGTCCTCAAATATAAAAATAAATAAATAAATTTAAAGATTTAATTAATAATTTTTCATCTCAAAAATGAAAAAATTGAGTATTATTCTTGTTGAGTATTCTTTAGACAATAATTGAATTTTAAATTTTTTTACTCACTCAATTTTAAAATTTCTATTAGTCGATCAATGCTATTGAAATTAATTTAGGGAATAAACTAGTTACAATTGCACACGTGCACACACATAGAGTAACAAGAAATTTTTGGCTCAATTAGTTTCTCTACGATCGACTCGAGATAATTTAAAACCTATGAAACATAGGTACGGGTACAAGTACTTGTATTAGTACAACACGAATACATCGATATAGTAAAATCCAAAAAAAAATAAACTATATGGGTACAACTTGATACATTTGTAAAAAAAAATATTTATTTTTAATTAGGAGTAATGCAAAAATTAATTAAATAGTTTAATTTCCTAAGATCCAATATACAATTAACATTTAATGCCAAAAGTACAGGTATAAGACAAACCAAAATTAAATGACATTATATTAAATAACTTACAAACCATAACTTAATTTTAAAATCATGTTGACCATAAAATTAAAAATAAAAAGGATAAACTACCAATAGATCCTAATAATTGAATTTAATTCCCATCAAATCCTATTGAAAATAAATTCCACTACAATTGGCGCTAAAAATAATTTTTTGTGACGATTTTTTAGATGTCACTAAAAATTGACAATTAGTGACTTTTTTTGTCACGATTTTTATAAATTATCGCTAAAACTTACAATCAGTGACATTTTACTGTGACGAATTTTTTAAACTGTCTCTGAAAATTGAAGATTAGTGACTTTTTTGTGACACTTTTTTAAACTGTCGCTAAAGCTTATGATTAGTGACATTTTTGTGATAAAATTTTCAAACTGCCACTAAAGATTAATAATTAGTGACATTATTTAATAATGTATGATGAAAAATGCAATTAATTATTAAAAGACTTATTAGACAATAAGTCTACTTAATAGAACTACACACGTCTCCCTAATAAAAAAAGAAGTCTAGTAAAAAGATAGGGCTAAGCAAAGAATCTGTGAAATCCGTAATGCGATCCAGTCCAGTCCAACCCGATAGGTTTAGATTGATTTTTTGAATCCGTGGTTCGGTTCCGGATTGAAGAATTAAAAATCCGTAGTCCACGGATTGGTTCCGGATTGAACCCCATGATTCCGGATTAGAACCGATTAGGACCGTATACAAATAGTCTATATTTTTATTATACATCCTCCCCCATAGTATCTTCTCTTATTCCATATAAAACCTAAACTCAAACCTAAACCCACATAATATCTTCTTTTATTACTTTTGTTTGTTAGTTTTTAGTTTTAATTTGTAATGGCCTACGTACTTATGGTGAAACCAATTTTCTTATGGTTGTTTAAATTCTAGAATAGTATGTCGTTATTATAGAAAGACATGTTGCTATTGTGAAACTAATATAGCGCTATGTTTATATTTTTATGAAATTAAAATGTTATATATATATATATATTTTTTTTTGTTATATAATTATATGAATCCATGGTCCTAAACCGATCCAACCCGTATTTAAATGGATTGATTCAGATTGGTTCCATGATTTAAACGGATTGGATTAGTTCCAATTTTTCAGGAACCGTAAATAACGGATTAGTCCTGGTTTTATCCCAATCCGATCCAATCCGGACCATGCTCACCACAATAAAAAGAATTTTATCTCTGTAATATAAAAAAATATTATTTCGACTGAAGCATAGCATAACTTGAATATATATTCACTACAAGAAATAACACTTTTAGAGACCAACTTTTTTGTCGCAAAAAGCTCATATCTGGTCGCTAATAGTTTTTAGCAACCAAAAAAAGTTGGTCGCAATTTTGTCGCCAAAAGCTCATCAATGAAGGTTTTTGGCAACTAGAAGTCAAGTTGGTCACGCCAAGTTCTAATCTGCAACCACATAATTTGGTCGCAGAAAGGACTTTAATTTGTCAAAAGTTGATCATTTTGCAACCAAAAATTTGGTCGCTGAAAGTTAACATTTGCAACCACTATTTTGGTCGCTAAAAGTTAACATTTGCAACCACTATTTTGGTCGCTGAAAGTTAACATTTGCGATGATCTATTTTAGTCGCCGAAAGTTAACATTTGCAACCTCCTATTTTGGTCCCTAAAACGGTTTAAATTTGTTAAAAGTCTAAATTCATGACTATTTATTTAGTCGCTGAAAGTCTATGCTTTAGCGACCACATCCATGGTCACCAATAATTATTCTTGGAACCTTCTCAAACACCTATTGCAACTAAAATTTTATTAGTCACAAAAGACCCTTCAATTTCGAAAATTAATTTTTTAAATCTAATGTTATTTTTTTTAATACCTATAATACATTTGCAATTAACACATAATTTATGACCATCCAATCAATTTCAACATACCAATCCATCAACAATCCAAACTAGAAACAAAAAACCATCGACTATAAAATCAAAATAGTAATTAATCTATCTAATTACGACCACTTTTTTTTTTTTTTATCAACAACAAAAGCTTTATTGATAAATAAGAAAAGAAAATAAGGATGAAGCATCCTCTTACAAAAGGACAAAGAGAAAACAAAACAAAATTGAAAACCCCCAAACAAGCTAAACACGGGCAAAATCCTGCATATCACAACCCGCCAACCAATCTCTAACTACCAAAAAAAGAGGAACTCCCTTAAATAAAGAGTTTCTCGACACCTAGAAAGAAGTTAAATGGCAAACATTATCCCACAAACAACCCACTTCCTGAAACTTTTCATCAAACAACCTTACATTTCTCTCCCTCCATAGAACCCAAAAAATTACAAAGACGGCACAAGACCAAAGCATTTTGGCTCTCTTTGATCCTCCAAAAGTGCGAAAATCCACTAGGAGCATATGCGTACACCTTTTTGGGGCTACCCACGCCACGTTTCCCAAAGAAAATTTATGTCATAAATTTAACGCTATTGAACAATGCAAGAATAAATGATCCGCGGATTCCCCATTTTTAAAACACAAAATGCACCATTGAAGATTTAGAAAACGATTGGGTCTCCTTTTTTGCAATGTATCATTTGTCAAAATGCCTCCATGAACCAAGGCCCACGTGAACACCTTTACTTTTAGGGGAACACAAGCCTTCCAAACTTTTTTGCAAAAAGGAAATTGAGAAACATGAGGATTATCAATGATATACTCAAAAAACGACTTACAAGAAAATATGCCGGACAAATGAAGAGCCCAAACCCACTTGTCCTCCAACAGAGGAGATAAAGAAAAATGATCAATTCTGGCCAATAAAGAAGTCAACTAAGAAGCCTCCCTATCATTAAGATTCCTAGAAAAATCAAAATTCCAGGAAATTGGAGCCAAAAGTGAGCAAGCCATGGACGCAATTGAAGAATTATGAGAACGAGTATAGCGACCCCGGTCTTTTCTCTTTAAATTATTGTATCCGGACTTAGGATCCGTGGATCCTGTCATTACTTATTGGTTGTTGTTGTCCTTTAATCTCTTTGGATTTGAAGTATAGGTTGTGTTGGGCGGGTCTGTTACAAGTTGGTTGATTTTAGATGCCAATAGGTGATGCCCAGATTTTGGCCCTTAAATAAAGAGTTCCTCGACACCCAGAAAGAAGTTAAATGACAAACATTATCCCACAAACAACCCACTTCCCGAAACTTTTCATCAAACAACCTTGCATTTCTCTCCCTCCATAGAACCCAAAAAATTGCAAAGACGGCACAAGACCAAAGCATTTTGGCTCTCTTTGATCCTCCAAAAGTGCGAAAATCCACTAGGTGCATATGCGTACACCTTTTTGGGGCTACCCACGCCACGTTTCCCAAAGAAAATTTATGTCATAAATTTAACGCTATTGAACAATGCAAGAATAAATGATCCGCGGATTCCCCATTTTTAAAACACAAAATGCACCATTGAGGATTTAGAAAACGATTGGGTCTACTTTTTTGCAATGTATCATTTGTCAAAATGCCTCCATGAACCAAGACCCACATGAACACCTTTACTTTTAGGGAAACACAAGCCTTTCAAACTTTTTTGCAAAAAGGAAACTGAGAAACATGGGAATTATCAATGATGTACTCAAAAAAAGACTTAACAAGAAAATATCCCGGACGAATGAAGAGCTCAAACCCACTTGTCCTCCAACAGAGGAGATAAAGAAAAATGATCAATTCTGGCCAATAAAGAAGTCAACTAAGACGCCTCCATATCATTAAGATTCCTAGAAAAATCAAAATTCCAGGAAATTGGAGCCAAAAGTGAGCAAGCCATGGACGCAATTGAAGAATTATGAGAACGAGCCACTTTATACAGATGTGGGAAATCAACAGCAAAAGAAGACTGACCCATCCAAACATCCTCCCAAAATCGAACAAGTTCCCCACTGCCCACCCGAACAGAAAGATGACGAGACCAACATGTGAAAATTTGAGAAATAGACTTCCAAGGAGCACGACAGTTACCCCTCAAAACCACCCGTGAATCCCTACCATTGTCATGAGTCCCATATTTACTTCTTATAACCGAATGCCATACTGAATCAACCTCAAGGAGAAATCTCCATAACCACTTGCCAAGAAGAGCCATGTTCCTAGCCACAATATTACCGATAGCCAAACCCCCATTCTCCTTAAGTAACGACACTAACTCCCAGTTCACCAGGTGATCCTTTTTCCCCTCATCCTTCCTTTCCCAAAGAAAATCCCTCATCAACTTTTCTAGAGACTTTGCCACCTTAACTGGAATCTTGAATAAAGATAAATAATAAATATGGATACCACTCAAAATAGACCTAACCAAAGTGTATCTACCCCCACGTGATAATAAAGCCTTACCCCACCCTTCCAATCTCTTGCCAACCTTTTCCACCACAGGAGACCAAAAAGCTTCGCTCCTAAGATTACCCCCTAATGGAAGACCCAAATATTTAAACGGAAGTAACTCTATACCACATCCTAAAAGTGACGCCCTGTTCTGAAGTTGATCTTGCTGCATATTGATACCCACCACACCACTTTTTCCCAAATTGACCTTAAGCCCTGAAATAATCCCAAAAAGTCTCAAAATCGAATGAAGATTAAGTAGCTGACTTTCATCTCCTGAGGAAAAAAAATATAGTATCATCCGCATATTGTAAATGAGTCACACTAACTCTATCCCGCCCCACCTCCAACCCCGCAAAAAGACCTGCTTCTTTAGCTCTATCAACCATCCTTCCCAGAACATCGACCACCAAAATAAAAAGAAAATGAGATAATGGGTCCCCTTGTCGTAGCCCCGCGAAGCCGTAAAGCATTCCCCCGATTTACCGTTCACTATGATTGACATATTACAAGTCGACAGACAACCCCTAATTCAAGATCTCCACCGCCCACCATATCCCTTCTTATCTAATACAAAATCCAAAAACTGCCAATCCACATGGTCATATGCCTTCTCAAAATCTATCTTAAAAATAAGACCTTCCTTTCCTGAACTCCTATATTCTTCCACTACTTCATTTACTACTAAGGCAACATCTAAGATTTGTCTTCCTTTGACAAAAGCTCCTTGCACCCTAGACATTGTATCCCCTAAAGACATCCTCAGTCGTTTTGATAAAACCTTCCCCAAAATCTTATACAACGACGTTACCAAACTGATAGGCCTAAAATCTCCCACTAACAACATTCACTTTCTTAGGAATCAAACAGATGAACGTAGCATTTGTTTTTAAATTAACAACCCCCGACTCATGAAATTCCAAAAACACTTTCAACAAATCCCCTTTCACCACCTCCCAACAATCCTGAAAGAGCGCCATGAAGAAACCATCCGGACCTGGAGCTTTGTCTCTTTCACAATCAAAGACCGCCTCTCGAATTTTCGATTCATCAAAAGGCCTTTCAAGCCATGTTGCAATTGTCCCAGTCCTTCAATCCCTGGTCTACTCATCTCTTTCTCCAAATAAAGCTTAGAATAAGTCATAAATGCCGCTGACAATTTGATTCTCCCTTTCTACCATTACCCCTGGGCTTATTTCCAATCTCTTAATGAACTTCTTCTTTCTTTGCCCATCTGCAACCCAGTGAAAAAATTTTAAATTAACATCCCCTTCCATCAACCATTTGATTTTTGCTTTTTAAGCCCAAGAAACTTGTTCCCGAAAAGTCAGCTCTTCTAATTTTAATCTCAACTCCGATCTTTCCCTCCTAAAAGACTCAGCTAATGCCCCTTGCAACTCCAAAGCGTCTAACTCTACTATTCTACTCATCACCTCCTTTTTTGAAGACTCCAAATTCCCAAAAACCTCCCTATTCCAGCACTTCACCTTCTCCTTTACTACAACTATCTCATAAATTTAAAACCCTCCCAACCATGACAGCTAGCATTCGTCCACCATTTCTCAAAATTTCGTTTAAAAGATGTATGCTCCAACCACATGTTCTCAAATCTAAAAAGCACCGGACCCCATTTTAATGGACAACTTTCAATCACAATAGGATAGTGATCTGAAACTAATCTAGGTAACGATTCTTGTCTTAAATTGGAAAAAACCCCTTCCCACCCCAAATAATATAAAAATCTATCCAATCTACAGCACACCAAATTCTCTTGAAGATTAGACCATGTAAATCTTGCATTACACAAAGGAGGACCCACCAACTCACTCTCTCGAATAAACAAATCAAAGTCTCTCATCCCCCTAGACATTCTAATCCCATTAAGCTTTTCTAAGACCTTCCTAACCACGTTAAAGTCCCCTCCTAAACACCAATTTGGAGAGCACAACCCAAATAAACCATATAGCTCCTCCCAAAAATCCATTTGCCTAGAAGGCCTATTAGGTCCATAAACCCCAGTCAACCACCAGTCCGAATTGTCCAGATTCCTAAACCTAACAGATAATGAAAATTCCCCCACTATAGTTTCACACTCATAAACAACTCTCTCATCCCACACTATTAAAACTCCCCCTCATCTACCAACTGAAGACAAACACACCCATCTTCTATGTCTAACTCCCCAAAGACTTTGCATGAACCTCCTATCGCACACTTCTACTTTAGATTCCTACAAAACAACAATGTCCGGTTGATGACTCCTAAGAAAATCCTTAATAACACTCCTCTTTTTCCGAGAACCCAAACCCCTCACATTCCAACTAATTATCTTCATAGAGAAACATTGCCACCCCTAACCACCCCTCTCCTTTTCTCATAATTAACAGAACTTTCTAAGTTCCTTAATTCCCTAACCCCCTTTTTATTATTCTCACCTTCCTTCCTAACACCTTTCTCCCTCGTAGACGTATTACACCTTCTAAAAGGCCCAAACGTATCCTTAATTTTAACTAATGACAAACCCATGACCTGAAGTAATTGCAAAAAGTGCGGTACCTCATTCTCCTCAATTGGGCAAGTCTCAAACTTGCTCAACTCCTTCAGCCATCTCTCCGATTCCTCCTTCCCTTCACTAGAAACCTGGCTCCCCTTGTCAAAATGATTACCCAAAACCCCACCCTGATTGTCATTCACCTGACCTTGAGCGATAATAGCATGTAAGGACTCAGACACTATGATAGACTCATTCACTGTGGCCCTCGGAATTTCAGAAGTAACCCCTTGTACAACAGTGTCAACTAATGAGACTTGACGAACCGGACAAAAAGAATTGGACAGAGGAAGCAAAGAAACCCCACCCCTAGCCCCTTTCCCAGCAAAAGAACAATCTCGAAGATCTTGTGCCCCCAAATGAGAAGATGAACAAGTGCACACTTGGTTAAAGGACAGATTGACCTAGTTCAATGCATCAGAAACCCTTCCGAAATCCTCGCCCTCAGTAGTGCACACTGCATTAAAAAAACTATTGAGATCCCAATCATTATCATCTGGCTCATCCTCACTATTTTCCACTTCAGCTGTTGCCTCCGAACTCTCAGAAGATCCATACTCCTCCAAATTTTGCAAAACCTCATGTATTTGAAAGTGACCCTCGTCGACCTTATGAATCTACTTTTCTGAGTCCCTAATAACCTCTAACAAATCATCAGCCCCTTCCTCTAACATCCCCTTTAATCTCTAAAAATCCCCATCAGACCTATCAACCATGTCTGCCAACCCTAATTGAGCTTCCTCAGAATTCAGAACTCCGCGAATAGGCAACAGGAATTGTGGAACACCATTGTCTGGGTCTGGTACATCACATGATAAGAATCGACTTCTCTCCATTAACGATGAGCGTCTTCGAAGACCCTCCTCACTGTCGTAATCTGCAATCCAATTGAATTCCAACCCCGAAATCTCCGATAGTATAGAAAGAGAAGCCCTTAGGCCATCAATTAAATTTGGGTCCCTCTCTTCATGAATAAAATCAACAGATGAGCTCCCTGTAACGCCTAGGCCCTTATCCTTAAAAATTTGACAAACATTTGGGCCTAATGATTCCAGTCCACCAACATCCTTAATTTTATTTGATACTAACAGATCTTGGGCTGAGCCCAACCCTTGACTGGGCCCATTAAAATTAAGGCCCCCAACCTGACTGCCTTTTTCGCCTCTTACTCTTCCTCCATTACTCTCGTCCCTCTCGATCAGATCCCCCAACTGCCTACTTATCTCCATTCTGCCACGTGGCTGGCCTGTCCCCTAAGACTCCTCACCTACCTCTTCTCCGGCACCAAAGTCGCCTGAAAACCTCCATGGCCGATGAAATTCCGATCTTCCGAAAGGCTTTGATAGAGCCTTCAGTCGAACGACCACCGAAATATCATCAAACTGAACATGAATCGTCGCAGGTAGTAATCCGTTACCATAGCCTCTGACTTTCAACCTTGCCTTAAAGAGATTTTCAAACGTTCTGGTTCTGCGATCCACCTCTATCAAACCACCACACTTCGACCCAATCCATTCAAAAACCCTATCATTCCAAAGATTAAAAGGCAAATCATTGACAAAGACCCAACCTCCATTTGAAGCGATGACAGTATCCCGACTGAGCATCTCCTCTGACCATCTTTCCAACCTTACTGCTATTTATCAAAGAAGCACATGCCTTGAGCACCGTAGTAATCAGCCTCCTCAGAATTTTTAGCCAAAAACAAAGCCTTAATTAATTGAAAAGGCTTTAGAACAATAGAAGTTTTAAAAGAACGACTTAATTCCTTTTCAATCTGAGACCACCCATTGAAGAAATCAATTCTAGTGCATACCACAACCTTACGCATCTCCACAAAAGAAATGTTGCTTCCCAAACTATCTAATTTAGATTTAAGCACATCGGCATATGAAACGCCTCTGTTTGCCCCTGTTTTCTGAGGAAGATTCATATTCCCCTCTGTGTTTCCTCGGCAAGCTCTGAATACAAACTGATTACTGGTATTATGTCCTTCCTTGGCTTTAGTCCTCATCTCTCTTTCATCATCCTGAACCTTATAGTCTCCATGGATAACACATTCAAGCATCTTGGCCATTGCCATCCACCCCTGACCATTAACCCCTATCGGAATGATAATGTTGTTACGTTTCACCCCAACCTCCCATTTTGACATCTCAACAAAAACACCTCCTTTGTTGTTGTATTTTTTAAGCCAAAAGACTGCTGAACTACTTGTGTACTTCACGAAAAAAGATCGAACACTGCGCTGTCCCCAAACCTGCCGCAGAGCTTGTATTGCCCACGAGACCCCCCCCCCAAAAAAATCTAACTTCATTGTGAAACTCGTGAGTCGATTTCACTCAATGATCTCCACTAAGCCTCCTTTGGATTCACCATCCACTTGAATGATAATAAGTTTTTGTTCGATTCGCAACTCAGAAGCACCCCCACCATAGACTCTCAAACTCACTCTCTCTCTCTCATGCTCTCTCTCTCAAACTTATATTGAATTTAATTGTTCATTATTTAATTACGACCACTTGTCAACATGAACACATTACAAGTCTAAAATAACCATCCATTCATTTAGTTTACAACGAATTTACATCAAAAACATATTTACCAAAACCATCAAAGATATCAAAAATCATTAATATCCAAGTGCATGTCATATTTGTCCGATGCGAAACATATCAAAAACTCCACGTATAAGCACAACTTAAAATTAATGCACTGGCAAACTCAGGTCCATAAACATGCATGGCAACACCTCTAACTACCTACAATAAAACGATGAAGAAAGCGTTGTTGATAATAACATTTTTGCATACATTTCTATTTAATTTCGTAAAAATCAATGGATCTAATTCCACTCCCAAAACTAGCAATCACACACAGCCTTAGTGCCCAATTCAAAAAAATAAAATAAAATAAACAAAATAGGGAATTAATCTAACTAGAGAATGCTTCATTGATGGTGGCAACTATCATCAAAGTTTTTCAAAAACAATTATTAATTTTTATGATAGGAAACATGTAGAAATATTCAAATGAGTCACAGGCAACTTAAAAAGCTAGAAGGCGTTTTTCCCAATGTCAATTCTAGCTGGAGTTCTTACACTTAGGATTGGATTTTTATAGTTATTTCCTAGTAGAACAAGGATTTCCCTACCAATATAAATTTGGTTATGATTCTCTTGACTAAGTAGAAATTAACTCAACCTACCAATTACATTCTCACTAAAATTAATCAACATTTGAAAAATATAGAACGAGTTAAGCTTGCAAAAATGCATTAAGTGTATATATATGTATTCAGATCTTTATTAGTCTTATGATAATTGGATCAAACTATCACAGAGCAATGATATGAAAAGGATAGAACGAATTAAGCTTGCAAAAACGCATTCAAACCTTGTACTAGCAAGTGTGGGCACCATCCCCATATGAATTTAGCAATGTTTCAAGGTTGTGGAAAGAAATAATCCTAATTGCCTCATCTAGCCTTGCTTTGGTTAACTTCTATTTGACCAATTTTAGGATTGAAGTTGGAGATGGCAAGAGGATTCAAATGAAAAAGAGGACTCAGGTTGTTTGGCCTATCAAATGAAAAAAAAAAATGACTCACTTGGGCATTATTATCAAAGGAGAGTACTTTACTCAAATTAAGGAGATCAAAGATACACCAATTGAAGAACAAGTTTTACATTGATATCAAATTCTTGTTCCATGGAAGATTACTTGACTCAAATTAAGGAGATAGCAGATCAATTACCCCAAGCTTCTTCACCAATTAAGGATGAAGACTTTGTTCTACTCACACTTATTCATTTTTTGTACTAATATAGTGCTTTGAAGAACACTATTCATGCCAAAACTAAATCGATTTGTATGGAAGTCCTATATTTTTTTTTCTGTGTTTTGAGGCAATTCATAGAGAGGCAGCTCTAAGCATTCTTTCAATGATTCTCATATTGCATATGTTGCAACCAAAAGCAAACTATACACCCCTCCCCTTATATTATGATGATGATGATGACGACGACGATGGGTTTTAATGATAATGAACAAGTGTTTTCTTTGCTTATCTTCAAACAAATCCTCCATCAATAATTTAGATATCTTTAATGGAACAAATATTGGTGGTGTTTGGGAACCAAGTTCCCAGATTTTTTTCTCATTTTTTCCACTAAAAGACAAAGGTTTTGCAAAACCAAAAAAAACAAATACAAACAAAATATCACATCCAATCCCATAATCATTTCACTTTTTCTCTTACAAATATCACATCCAACTACAAAAAAACCCAACTATCTTTCCAAACACTAAAAATTTTTTATCCAATAATATCCTACAACTAAAAAAACTTACATAAAAACCCACTTCCCAAACACCCACATTAACAATCACTTCAATAGCATGCATAAAGAGAACAAGTGAAATTGGTTAGTTATAAAATATTACTTTTTTGAAAAAAAAAAAACTAACATATGTTTATATAATTTAAAGTACTTACTCATCAAAAGAGTCATATCCACTATGATTGCCCTACATTTGCCTCATAAAGTGTTCGAACTGCTCAAAGCGTCCTGCATATGATTGAATTATCCCTTTTAGTGATGCTACCTCTTCTTTAAGGCCCCTAACCTCTTCATCATGTGCTTGTGACCTAGCTATAGAATTGAAAGCAAAAGACAGCTTTGGACCTACCCCAAAACCTTGCAAATACCAATTCTAAACAATAGAGATCAAAGCACATTCCTAAACACAATACAAAAATAAGATGAAAAACCAAACAAAATCTTGTTAATTTGAAGAATAATTCTAAGTTAGTCTAAAAACAAAACAATCCCCCCCATTACGTATATAAACTTTTCTCAAAACCTACATTTTGACACTCTTATTTCAAGAAAACAAATTTTAATCATTCTAATTAAAAGATCTTCATCAATCATCAAGAATTAAAACTGTCCACATAAAAAAGAAAAGAAAAAACATGGAAATGTTTTAACGTATCTGTAATTTATAAAATCTAGAATTTCTACCACTAAATAGATTCATAAACATGAATGTGGGTGCCTTTGTATGTATGAGTGAAGTGATTTGAAGCATTATGCTCACCAGAAGAACTAATTGAGTTATTACTTGATCTTTCAATTGGTAAACAGAACGTAATGCTGAGGCTTAAATGGACTCTCAACAGGAAGCACTAAAATGAAGGACCTCTGTGAAGTGTCAAGTGAATGCATTTTCCAATTATAATTAGTTCTCCACATAAATGGCATACTGTTACATGTTTTCAACTTAGACTTTCCAGCAAAAGACTTCTAGAGGCGTGATCAATGAGATTTTAGATAAAATAGCATTCAGTTGAGAGTTATATTCTCCATTAAACTAATCCTCATGTAGCAATTTCCATATATGATGATGAGGAAATAGTTGCATTTGGTAACATTTTTGTTTTCATTTTTGCTTTCAAAAATCTTGAAATGTGTATCAATCATGATACAGAAAATTAAAAACAGGCAATGTTGTTTAGTGTATACACTAATTATCCTCAATCAAGGGTTACTGACTGAAAGGAGGCCTCATACTTAGCAGACTTCACCCACTCAAAACAAATCCCACCAAGAAATGTTCATCAATATGAATAGAAATTTGAAGTTAACATTTCCAATTCAAATGGAGTATTGATCTCATATACTTAAAACACCAAGAAACATTGGTACCATATGCTCAGTATCAAAGAAATAGTAGAACCATATACTTAAAACACCAATTACATCTTAATAATTATTAAAATGCCTACAATTCAAAATTTAGAAACAAAACATATAACTATGCTTGCACACCTGCATGTGTGAGAGTTCGACGAGTTGTAGTTCCTCTCTAGACTTAGCAAGTACTTGAGTTTGTTTAACAATGACCAGATGAAGATATAGCTTATGGATATGCTGGGCACAACCAATTCTATATGTTTGAAAACAAAAAAGTAAAACAAAAGGCTTTGTTTTTTTATTATTAGTCCTGGCACTCAACATAGGACAATAATGCCTTTAAAACTCAAATATATATAAATATATATATATAAATTAATAATACATTAGAAACAACAAATATAAATTATTTGTGTCATTAAATCCTTCAACCAGAACAAGTTGAAAATTGAGCTTCAACCTGCTAAAGACACAACCAAATGGTACAAATGAGCTATTGGAAAAACAACGTAAAACTGCCTAGGAAAAAATAGAAGGAAAAGAAAGCCAAATGTAAAGATGACATGAGATTAACCAACTTTTTTTTTAAAGAAATATAAATAACACATAAGTATGTGTGATCGGTAAAATATAAAGGTAAATGAAGACACAATATTGCTTGCTCGCATGAAAGAATAGAGGAAATTTTATAACAATCCATCAAAGGTCTAAGAATTAAATCATACGCACATTAAAATTTGCTCAAATATTATACATAACAAACCAAAGTAGAAACTATATATACATTTAGTATTGAATTAATCATAAAATGGGGAAATTTCTAAACAATCCATTAAAGAATTAAATCATACCTACATTAAAATTTGGCCAAACTGGCTTCAAGTAAACTATTACTCCAATCGTGATTATGCTTCATTGTGAGTTGATTCAATACCCACCAATTTGGCTTCAAAGTTCTTATTCCCAGTGGTTACCAAGGCTATAGTTGATTCAATCCCAAAAGCAAATCAGATTATATAGAACAAAATATATGAAAAATCTACAGAGAGCTTTTGTTTTAATCAGGTTAGGGTTGACAAAGAGAGGGGTTTGATGCAACTAAGGTAGATTCTACATATCCAAAATTAAGAACATTTGAATATTTAACCAAAAAAAAAATCATCACACAAGAAATTATATCTAGAATTCAAAAAAATTGTAAAATTCAAATGATTCCTCCCCTACAAATATAAAATATAAACCAAATTGCATTATCCAAAAAAAAAAAACTTGACGGCAAGAAAGGGGAAAACATTGAAAACATATCAGATAAAAACTACGATTTCTATAAAAATGATCTTTTATGTAGTTTCTACCTGCAAATCCGACAATACAAGCTTTATCAAGAGTTTTAGACAGAAAAGCTGAGAGATAACAACAAAAATGATCCATTATATGATATCTGAAAGAAAAGAAAAAAAAAATAAAGAGAGATATAGTATGGAACCCAACTCAAAACTCTTTTTCGGAAAAAAATACAAATTAAATCTGCAAAAGGATACATTATGCCTCGTGATCTGGTTCCTAAATCTCAAGTTTTATATAGAGAGAAAGGGGGGGGGGGGGGGGGGAAATCAATTTAGGGTTTCAGAGAGAAGAGATGATGGGGAAAACATCGAAACAGAGGAACAAAAGAGAACACAAAATCATTTTAGGGTTTTGAGAGAGATTGTACCAGGAACATAATCTAAGCTCCATCCAAGCTTGGCAAAATCAATCTCGTTCCTTGAAAGCAGAAGGAGATGAAAATAAAAGATCAAACAAATGACTTCCATGCTCTCTCTCTCTCTCCCTCTCTCTCTCTCAAAATAAAAGATCAAACAAATGGAAGTAGCCGAACTGGCGGCAGAGGGAGAACAGGGGACGAAGTGAATGGAGTGTAGAGAGTGTCGATCGGGACGGTAAAGAGTGACGAAGTGAACAGCCTATGGGGATGGTATAGAGGCAGACAGGAACTATGGCTATTGGGAGAAAAAGGGGAATAACAAAAGGATGAGAAGCTCACTAGTTTTTGGAAATGTTCAAAATGATATAGGCCTGTTTGGTAGGGTTTATTTTTACCTTATTTCAGTTTTTAATTTAATTTAAGTTATTTTGATATGTTTAGTTCAGCTTAACAATATAGTTTATAATTTTTTATAAGTCAAAAATTAACTTATTCTTTGAGTGGGGGAGAAGAAGCTTAATTTATAAGTTAAAAATCAGATTATGTTCACAGTTATAAGGTATAAGCTGTTAGGCTATAAGTTATAATCACTTTCTCACAGTTCTACCAAACGGGCCAATAGTATACTTGAAAAATAACTATTTTATTTTCTATGACCACAATTCAATTGTTCATCAAAAGTTTAGAAATCCCGCCTAATTTTGTTTACTCTCCCGCCACTATCTTCAATGACTGCATTTTACATTTGGTCGCAAAAAGTTCTGTATTGGCTACCAAAAGAGTTGTTGGTCGCTAAAACTTTGATCATCCGAGACTAAAATTTATTTTGGTCGTAGAAAGCAAGCTATTTATGACCGATTCTGGGTGTGGTCGCGGGATGTAGTCGTCAAAAGGTTTCAAGATCTTTTTTTTTTCCCCCCTCTTCCGTCATTACTTTCTGCGACCATATTTTTTTTTTTTTGGTCACAAAAAATTGCCTATTAGCTACCAAAATGTTGTTGGTCGCTAAAACACAACTCATCAGCGACCAAAAAAATATTAGTTGCAGAAAGTCAACTATGTGCGACCAACTCAAAAAATGTGGTCGCTAAAAGTGTTTTTTCTTGTAGTGATTAGGCACGTCTAGATACACCAAAAATTAAAAAGAAAAAAATTTGAATATATGTTTCATATACTTGGTACATATGCAGAAGCACTATACGAAGTACTATATGCCGATAAGTACCCGATATAAATACGGCATATTTGTCGAAGTATCCATACTTCATAGTTTGAAACTTAAAGAGATAATTATAAACAAGAATTTTTATTTTTTTTGCGAAGCATATTATTTAAAATTTAATTATTTTTGTTATTGAGATAAAAAAAATTATTTATTAAAGTCTGGTTTGGCATACACTAAAAAATACAAAAAGTCAAAAAGCTACTAAAAAGGCAAAAAAGTTATCACTATTCACCAAAAAAAAATATAAAAAAACTCCTTTACACAGGCCAAGTACAAGTCACTGTTAGTACTGAAGTGATGGTCATGCGGGTGCACAAAAAAAATTGCACAAGATGGTGTTGTTCGGCTTGTGGAGACCCATCACGGGTCCCGTTTTGATAATCTAAACTATTCAATGTGTAGAACTCGTCAAATACTATATGTCTGTAAAAAATCACGTTGCTCGAATATCGATAACTATATGATCAAATCAGTTTTGTAAAAAAAAATAAACGGTGAAGAAATTAACGGTTGACAAAAAACTAATCTCATCAGATAGTTATTGACATCCGACCAACATAATTTTTTACAAGCATATAAAACTCGACGAGTTCTACACATTGAACAGTTTCGATTATCAAAATGAGACTCGCGGTGGCTCCCACAGACCGAACAGCACCGTCTAGTCCGATCTCGGACTATAGGCAATCTGCTCCTATACTTGTTTTCCACCCACCGTCTGGCTTCCTCGACAATCCAAGTCAGTAGGCAATTCATTATAGTAGGGGTAAAATGGTAGTTTTACTATTTTATACAATATTTTAATACATATTTTTTCGTAAAAAGTCAAAAAATTATCCTAAACAATTATCTTTTTTTCCTCTACTTTTTAGCCTAAAAAGTCAAAAAATACACTTATTTAGAACATCCCAAACAACCCCTAAATATTTATATTTAATTTTTTAATATTTGGGGGCAAATTAATTTTTATGGTATAGTTTGGAGGTAAAATGAAATTCCAAATAAAGTTTGGTATCACGTCAGTAAGTTTCGTTTGATTGTGGACGAAAATAGAGGGCAAAGGTTAAATTAATCAAATTTTAAAAAGTTTAAAGGTCAAATTAAAATAATGTGAAATTTGGATGTCAAATTAATTTTTACGTAATAATTTGATAAACAAAATGATATATTTCTTTTTTTGAAAAAAACAATATGTTGATGTAAGCAACTATGATTAGAAATGTGTGAAGTTGATTAAGAACAGTTCATCCTTGAATGGTGAAACAAGTTACCCATTCAAGGACTTAGTAGTAATTCTCATTTTATTGGTGATAATACAACGTGTTCCAAATGAAACGGGCCGGATTGATCTACGCTTCACAAACCGGTGTCCGAGGTACCAAGCCCACAGGAAGACCTGCACAAGAGTTCAACAGGGAACGGGGAGTCCTCCAGTGAACCCTCCGACGAGCAAATTAGAAAGAGAGATGGAATGTAGAGATATATTAGTGATAGAAAAGCTTAACATTCTTCTTGTCTTCGACGTCTGCTTATATTCTTTGGTAATCATTTTGTTGTCCCTTCCGACCTGTCATCTTGGCCGAAAGTCTATGCTCTAGCTTGCCTTGTTCACGGTGAGGACGTTCTGTCTCGACGACGAGGGGTTATCACAATAAATGCTGTAAGGGGCTTCATTAATGGCTGATGTGCAGTGCAATAACTTTGTAGGATCTTTGTCTGCTTATATGGCTTGTCCTTCTCTTGCCACGTGTTTAGATGTCATTGGTTCTTAATGCCATATTGAGCTTTAGCAATGTTGGGTTTTAGTATTTGAATTATGTATTGGGCCCTAAATGGTGGGCTATAACCTTTATGGGCTTACCTATGTCAGTAGTCCCCCATTCCCAAGTGCAGCTTTAGTCCAACGAAGGGAATAATGAAGAAAGCGACGGTTGTGAAAGACCGGCGGGGCGAAAACCGACTAAGAGGTGGGCCGACGGCAATGGGTGGCCGAGCGGAGGGGCTGACCATGAGGAGAGCCAACCACGAAGGGTGACCGAGTGAAAGGACCAACCCTGAGGAGGGGTGACTGCGAAGGGTGACCGAGTGAAGGGGCCGACCATAAGGAGAGCCGACTGCGAAGGGTGACCGAGTGGAGGGACTGACCATGAGGAGGGCAGACCGAAAAGAGTGACCGAGTGGAGAGACCGACCATGAGGAGGGCCGACCGAGAAGGGTGACCGAGTGGAGGGACCGACCATGAGGAGGGTCGACCGAGAAGGGTGACCGAGTGGAGGGACCAACCATGAGGAGGGCCGACCGCAAAGGGTGGCCGAGTGAAGGGGTAAGTGGCGGTACGCGGGGCTCGAGGAGTGGCAAGGCACGTGGTGATTTGAAGTGGAAAAGACAGGGTAAGGGAAAGGAGCAGTGGATCGTGGTCATACACATGGCGGAATCTCGTGATGGGGGAGGTTAGGCGTTGGGTAAGAAATGAAAAGGTAGGTTAACATAGGGTGTTGAAAAGGCGGTATTGGCGGATTTTTTGAAAATTTTCAAGCTGGCAAAATTTAATCATGACCCTTGGAATACAGTCAAGCCTTGGGCTTTTGGTATTATCCGATTTACCTACCTTTTTGCAAAAAATCAAAACATTCCAAGAGTAAACTCCTTTGTGTCGAGTGATACACCTTTGCAACATTTTGTGAACTACCTTGTACCAGCATTAGAAGCTATACGCAGGCATACCAGAGAGATGGCTCGAGAGAAAGTGCCCACCGTGAGACTAGATGCCTTAGGGGACGACGACGCGGTGGACCTGGCGGAGCAATACAGACGGAGAAGCGAGTAGGGAGTGAGGGGGGACCGGCAGGGCGACCTCACTCGTCCACGCTGATAGCGGCTGCAAAGCCAATCAGTCAAGTTGAGCTAGATCACTAGCACACGAAGGCCGACAAGTCGACCTTTACCGCAGAGGAGTTGGAGGGTATGCGCAAGAAATATCAAATTCCCATGGAAATAGAGTTAAAGCTGCCGACACCGAAGGAGAGGCCATTCGACGCTCGACCGGGGGAGTTTGCCCTCTACGAGGAGGCGTTGAAGAGGGGGTTGAGGTTGCCACTTCCACAGGTGGTAGTGGATGTGCTAAACCGGTTGGAGGTGGCACCGGGTCAACTAATGCCCAATGCGTGAAAGATTTTACTGGCCTGTGCAAGCGCGTGGCCGCGGGCGAATGAGGGGGATGAGATAACGGTGGATGAGTTTTTTGCATGCTACAAGGCTTCGGGCCAACAAGAGACTTAGGTCACTTTACAAGCGGCGGCAGGGAAGGGTCTGGTGGCGGGGTTGCCGTCATCAATTAAGGGGTGGAGGCCGCGGTGGTTCTATGTGTCCGCAAACGGAAGAGTAGGAGTGCGCACAGTGTAGAGAGTGCCAACCAAGTCGGTGGAGCCAAGGTTGGGGGCAATGGCAGAGAAGAGGGTGAAGAAGGTGAAGGCATAGAGGGTGAAAGAGGGTGCCAAGTGGGACGACCTCGTTCAGCCCTCAACCTTGTTTGCCTCAAGGCTGGGCCATCAGCCGACCGGTGGAGATCTTGCGCCGGCAGAGCTAGAGGCGAGAAGGAAAGCGCAGGAGGCGGAGGATAGGATAATTTTTGCCAAGTCCAATAAATACAAAGAAGCATAGTTAGGCCGTCCACCCAAGCCGATTGCAAGGGAACGAGTCCGACCGCGCCCCAAGCCGCTAGGAGAGAAGGATCTGAGCAGTTTTGAGCCACGACCACCTCCAGTGGATACTTTGAAAGAGAAGAGCAACAAGGAGGTAGAGGCTGTGTTGAAGAAGAAAAAGAAGAGAGTAAGGAAGAGTGAGGAGGGGCTAGCCTGGAAGATGATGAAAGAGGTGGCGGCAGAGGAGACCCCCAAAGTGGGGTTGGAGGAAGCAGCGAAGGGGATAGAGAGTGGGGCGACTGGCCTTGAAAAATAAGTGGAAGGTGGGGCGACTGGCCCTGAAGAGGGAGCAGAACAACAGCCAAAGGGGGGTCTTGTGCCCCAAGGAGAATGAGAGAGGGCCAGGTTGAAGACCGCAATTTACCACGCTCCAATAGTGTCCGGGCGACTGGAGGGAGAAGAAGGCGAAGCCAGGACTGTTGCCGATCGGC